CGTAGGTGGGCACCCAGAGCTCTACGATACCTCATATTAGTAGAGACTGGATGAAACTATGTGAATAAATGTATGTGTATAAACCATATGGTACAGGGAACAATAGCACGCCACACCCTGGACCGGCAGGGATAGGTAGCCTGAAATGACAAGAGGCAGAATGGCAACACTACTAACAAAGTAAAAGTTAGAAATTAGCTTGCACGTTTATATTAAGACTAAATACAACCCTTTGGCTTAAGTATTTCATGCTTCAGGTGGTTATCTGAGATTACTTTGGTGTCTGTCTTTTCCAGTAAAGTAGCTTTCAAATAAAAACATTCAGGGATACACCATTCATCATTAAATGTCATTCTGCAATCTGTGTGATTATGATCCCAAACAATATTTCCTGGTCTATTTTCATTTCCTAGCCTTTCAAAATCAGATATGAATCCAAGACAAGAGAAAAATAAAAAAAGTGAATCAATCGGCCACATGTGGTGCTTATCACTCTGCATCTTTACCCAGGTATTTAGCCCACCTACCACATTGTCTTGGTTTGGTCTTGCTGCACAGACACTCTTTTCAGACTACAACTAAAAGGCGGTGATGGTGCTCCATGCCTGCTGATTATGTAAGGAGATAATCATTTTCTTTTTTTAATATGTTGGGCATGACAACTTTATGAAGATCATATAGGGGCTGTGGATCTGTCAGCTTGTTTTAAATTGTTTCTGCCCCCTACCCCACTGGCCAAAAATTGATAAACGCAGCTTTAAATGAGTTTTGGTATTTCTATCAATTGCACTGATCTCTTTTTTAGACACTTAAATATATCTTCATTCAATGGGACAGCAATACTTTGTAGTCACTCCCTTGTATGTGAACGGGCCTATTCTTAGAATATTGGCACAGGGCTAAAGTTTCTCCATGTTTCATCACTTTCCCAGTTCTTTGATAGTAAATCACACACACTCTGACATGGACTTATGATTGTTCATGCAAGTCATTCTGTGCAGCCAGATGCTGGCAGTCTCTCAATCAATAAAACTACTACTCTGTCTCATGGATCCACATTCATAATGAGAATGCTACAGAGGCTGGTAACAAAGCCATGTGGGCACATAAATTATCAAACCTATTTTTCTGAAGAAGCTACCCAGACACTTCACTTTTATTGAAACTTCTCATTGAGCTCATGAGAAGAAACTGACTGACAGAGAGTCTGGACCTTTCTGTATACATCTGTTTTCGCACCATTTAGCATCTACATGTATACCTTCCACAGACAAATAGTGAGTGAATTCTTCATGATATTTAGAGCATGAAATGTGTTTTTACCCACAATTTACTTATGCTCTTGGACACACTACAACTGGTAACAAGGAAACAGCTAGCCTGACTGTCATGGAGCCTATAATCTCCCTCCCAATATGAAATTGATTTGAGTACATGTTGGTTTGTAGAGGAAGGTGCAAATTTCTCTCACTGTTCAACATTTACATGAGCCGTGAACATGTGATATTTGAGAGATTATTGTTCACTTAGCTCACACAGGTTTTCTGTAAGAGGACTTTAATTTCCTGACCTCCCTGACCCTTTAAGAAGTCGTGCACTTCCCCTTTGTTGCTACGTTTTCCCTTTGTAATTCCAAAGTAGTATAGTTCCAAAGAGGGGAATGTTTACTTGTTTCTGTACTTCACTAACAATATTTATGTCTTGCTTTTGCCTCTTGAGAAGGTACCTTTGATTAATATATCTTGTGAAATTGCATTTGACTATTAATTGGCTCCAAATGAGGGATGATTGTTGACACCTGAGTTAAAGTGGCACTAATTCCAGAGATTCTCCCTGATTGGCCACAGACAGCAGGTGGCAGGTTACAAAAGGTCTTAGAAGACAGCAAACTAGTTGGGCTGGGTTTTTCCACCTTCTAGGAAAATGGAGCAAGGCCAGTGCTTTGTCTGCCAGAAGGTTCTCCCTTGATGATTGCAAATCAGTCTTAATTTGAGAGTTGTGCTGAGCAACACAAAAGAAAATAGTGTTCATACACTAATCACTAGATTTCAATTTTGTGAATATTTCACTGCCATGTTTTGTCTGCAGAGAACCTTAGCTGATAACCTAATGAAATGGTTTATTTTTTCCTTTTTTTGCCAGTCAAGCAAAGTTGCTTGCAGGACCATACTTCCCACTCGCACTACCAACCATCCTCAAGTTCAGCTATGTCTTTATCTGAAAGAAGTCAAAGATTCTACAGTCATGTTAACACTTCTGTTGGGCGGTTATTTGGCACAGTGGTGCTTATTTGAGCTAAATGTTAATGTCAAGCTAATATTTATTAATTATCACAAAAAAGTACAGCAGAGGCATATGGGAATGTGATAAGTTTTGCATGTATTTAGTAAACCAAATATTATCACAAAAATATTGCCACTTCATATTGCACCAAGGAACAGCAACCGCTGCTGGTGAATAAATACTTTGGCGCATAACTTCTCATAAAACAGCAAATTTGGGATTTAACATAAATTTGTATATTGCTGAGGACAAAGACATCTGCAATGAATAAATAAAAAGAATGAAATTTAAAATGGATGTTGTTGGACAGAGTTGGGATAACTATTTTCCTCTGTTTCCAGTATTTGTGCTATGCTAAGCTAACTGACTGCTGGATCCAGCAACAGTACATGTTTAGGGCAATCTTACATACAATACATTTGTAATAATCTTCTCATCTTACTCTTGGCAGGTCATCAAATAAGTGTATTTCAAATTTCTAACTATTCCTTGTGATATTTTGTATGTGTTAAAACAATACATCGTAAATATGGTTTTCTACAATAGCTGTTATATCAAAATACTATTTGTTGTATTTGATGCAAGATCTAAATATTTTTGATTTTTGAAGTTGTAAAGTTGTATTGTGATTATTTCTGTAGCTCAATAACTAGCTACGCTTAACAATTACATGTCCTAATTAAGGACATTGTAAATAATATATTGGATATCATGTAATGACTTAACTTACTGTTTCTGGAATGATTAGAAAAATAAATTTACTGTGGAATCATAAGTTATTGCTGCAAAAAGCATGAGCTGATAAGTAGCTGTAAGGGGTTAATCTGAGTGTAAAAATACTTTAGTAACACTGTAGATTAAAACGTATCTTCCCAAAAATGGGAAGATCTCTACCACAAATATATTTATAGTAAATATAAAGTTGTTTTCTGGATTTAAGGCAACTATTAGTTTGAAATTAGCTAATTTCTCTTCAGCATGACTGTTGAATCTCTGAGTCAGTGTCCATTAGCTTGTGCACAATGATTGCTTTAATCTGCTGCAAGTGTTCCTGTTAAAGTTGTACTCAGCTATTTATTTATGCTTATATAGAAGTGAGCCTTCATAGCTGGAAATACATAATCATATTAGGGGGTTCAGGGTTGTCTAGTTGTGTAAAATTAAACGAGTGCAAATAATAAATGTAAGCTAGCTTGTTTCACAGTTTTTCTGTATGTTGCTAGATCTTAATTCTTTCCTAAGGCAATATTTGAATACTCTATCTAACTATACATCAGCGTACGCACACACACGCTCACACTCGCACTCACACACACGCTCACACTCTCACACACACACACACAACCCAACAGCAGGAAATTGGCTATCAAAAGCAGTTCTTTGGTAATAGGAGAACAAAACAACGTGAGAGGCTGTAAGGAATTGGAGATTGTGTGTGCAGATAATGCTGTTAGATGCTAGATAACATGCCTCTGACTAAATGTTCTGCTTTGGGCAAAAAAGAAGCTGCATATTTCTCTTGTAGCACAAGACTCTGTCATGGCGACAGCTGCTCCCTCCTCCTCTATTCCCTCCTCTCCATCTCTATCAACAAAGTTCTGTTTTGCACATATTAACTTCTCCTGGTATGTGTCTGATCTTGTTTTCTTCTTTTGCGGTCCAAGATGGGTCATCTGACACCAGGCCCCATGCAAGAACAAGACGAACAAGCTCATTGTTCTCAGTAGTTAGGCCTTTCCTTGGACTGGAATTTTCTCTTATAGGTAGGTTCAAAATTCCCCCGTTGTCCAAACCTGTCAAACCAGTGATTTGCTTTTCACCACAGGGAAAAAAACCACTAAAATGGCCTGACATTTTAATGCCTGAATACGATAGCATATAACTAAGACAAACTCAATGCATAAAAATATTCTGGTTACATCATCATCATCATCATCATCATCATCAGGGCTTGTCAATTTACTGAGAGTTTTTGTTCTACTTTCTGATTTTCATTAACATTTTTCAGCAAAACTGTATTTGATCAGTTAAATGACCAGTGGCTGCTGAGTTCACCAGTTGGATTACTGTGTGATAAAGTTACAGTTACTGTAATTTACTGCGGCGGCGAGGATCCTCTTTGCCTTTCTTTGAGAGTTTTCTTTTCTTTCTTAACTAACCCACACACATGTATTCACACGCATACACTCTTACATTACCAACAGTGGACTGTCATGTTATTCTAATCAAATGTGGACTTGTGTTTCTGGTCAATTTAAAAAAATAAAAAATTGAATGAAAAATGTACTTTTATGGTCTTTACCCAGTATATTACTGTAAATGTGCTTTTTAATTTTTTTAAAGAAATTGCCAAGAGGGGACCTGCATCTTTGAGTGATGTCTACCTATCAAAGAGGGGACGTCAATATATTGCATTTCTCTGTGATACCAATATTTTAAGAAATAATCATGGCAACTTTAAATGACAATTATATTTTAACTGCAAATCAGAAGTGAATTGGCTGCATGCACTAATATCATGGACTACAGTATTAGCAACAAGTTTACTTTATCTAATCTTAAATCAAATAAAACATTTTAAGGCTACATTTTAAAGATTGATCACAAGAGTACACATTAAGTGTAATTTTCTCCGTGGGGAATTCATATTCTGCTCTGGAATTGTTGGTCATTTTTATGACCGGTTTGGAATGGTGAATTCTTAAGTTTCTATGACTATCCATGACTACACAACTTTGTGAAGAAATGTCCTATGTTAATGTCTGTCAGCATGATCTTGCAGATTATTGACATAGTCTTGAATTGTCTGATGTCCTTAAAACTCCACCTGATAATTCATTGCTGCCCTTCATTGCCCTGCCAGCAGCATGTACCGTATGGTTTCAATGAGCTACATGTAGCTGGTTCATTAATCTCACAAAGTGAAACATTTTGTAAGATGCTGTGACTTATTATTGTGTTGATAGGTGTAACCTTAGCCAAATACCTTTTTAAAAAATGCTCTCCAAACACAAAAACAAAATGTGGCTCCTATTATAATTACCTGTTTTACCAGTATGGTCTGCTTTTGTCCATGTGTACAGAAAACAAGATAAGCAGGTTTTCCACATGACCTTTTACTGAGAATGTG